AGTAAGTTTGTAATACATTGCTTTAATTTTCCTATAATTGCACGAGTAAATATATAGTATACACGAGAGTCGAAAAACATATTAACACTACTAGTAATGTTATCTGCGACTTCGTCTCCTTTTATAGTTGAAAAATAGCCTATGTCTACCCTCATTGTACAACATATCACATGAAGTGCAATTTCATTAGAATCAGTTCAGCCGTTTTGTCATTTAAATTTAATGTTAACATAAATGAAACGTTGTAATAAACATATAACGTTACATTTATGTTAACATTATGTATATTGGGATTTTTGAACAGATTGGGAACCACTGGTGCAGACTATTGCAGATATAAACGAGAGAGCCCGGCCCGTACAAAGGCTAGGAAATAAGTTTAAAGAACTAACAAGCACTTGTTACTGCGAGGTAACTGAATATTAAAACGTAATTGTGTGTCATAATGCGCACAAACAGAAATAATTTGTAAGTTGATGTGAAAAAGTGAAGATTTATGTGAGATGTAGCATATTAATAATAATAAACTGTTACAATTTCTGATTTTAATAAAATTAAAAGATTTTTTATCTAGACAAATAGGCCTATCCAGCCTACAACTCAGTGGGAGCAGAAAGTCCACCCTTTCTGTTATTCAATTATAATACTATTACCCGTTACCGGTGAATTATTACAATAAAAAATAAACGAGAGGAGTTTTTTTATTTCAATAAATATAAAAATACTCCTCTATTGTCGAAATAATTAAATTTAAAAATAAAATAAAATAAGAACTATAAATTACTCAGGATAATGGAAGATATATGAGAAAAACTATTACTGGAAGAATTTATCGACGTAACAGAACCCTAAACAATTTTTTATTTATAATATTTCAATTATTATTTACAATGCCATGGTTATAAAGTCGAGTGTTTAACAAGCCATTAATATTCAAAGGTTTAAAACAGCATTTGTCAAGAGATAACAAAGCTGTATGAGAATAACGACTAAGCCTCTATTTGTATTTAGTAGTGAAAACTTTTGCGATATAGCAGATTATCTCCTTATCGACTCATCACTAACTTGTTCGAGTTATGTACGTACTCGTAGGTAGTTCGATGCTTGTACAATATACGGGTACATACATTTTTTTAAGTAACTTGAGAATGAGTGACCTATGTGGTCTTTATACGAATTCATCTGCGTGGGTACCTCTGTTGTATTCCTTTTCAGCCTCCAAGGCGTTGAAGGCTGAGATATGGCATTAATGGCGGGAAGGGGATCGTTAGAAATGTGGACTCATGCCTCATTACTAGCAATGTACCATGACAGGTTGACCTCCACGCGGTTCTCCCTGGAAACCATCGTGATAAATTTCTGGTGAATTTATCATTTCTCACCATGGGCTTACTGACCTGACCTCATGTTCATCTTATCATCTTCCACTAATGCCCCGCCAGCGTAAACCGTTAGCACAGGCGGGTGCATCGTTCTATTATCATCCATAAAAAAAATCAAAGCCGTATTAATATTATGATTGTGAAAGTATATCTGACTTTCATAGTTATGTGGAATAATAGGCATTGTAATATTTTTTCTCTATTATTACAGTTGGCAATTATGGCAAATATTGGCAACCTTGAGATATATTCGAATATATTTTCTATTTTAATTAGTATATATAGTTATATACCATCTTTCTAAAACTGAATGGTAATTAATGATTATGTATTGCTATAGATATACCTACAATTAGTTTTGTTTCTCGGTGGCGTGTAATTTGAGTGCATGATGATATTGTTGAACATTGACTAATCAGTTCTAATAATAAACGTGTTGTTTGTAAGTACTGATCACTATATAAATCTCTCACCAAGTTACAAGAGTAAAACATTAATTTAGGTAGTTCCTATTAACAGAAAATCCTAAACATATAAAGGTGAATATCATTTATTTAAAAGAGTAACAGGTAAGATTCAAGTCCATTTGTCTCGACTCAATCTACATTCCGAATGAGTAGTAGAATAAAAGAAAAATGTTAATGTTACAAATCATTTGTATAAAATTTATTTGAACAAAAAATATTCTATTCTATCCTCGTCGGTCCCCAATTAAATAAATAAATTGTAACTCAAATTTTATAGAAAATAACTGGCCGGTTAACACATTTTTATACTATAAAATGTACATTGTTGTTTATTATTCTTATCACTACGTCACTATACAGTGTACACACATAAAGTAGTGGCAACGAAACTAATTAACAAGTTGAACTCGGCCGGAGATTTCGTTAGCGAGCCAGTTATTTTTGCCAAACTTCGCTATCTACTAATGGTACACACTTTATTACCCGACTATCGGAAAAGGAGACTATTTCTATACATATAAATAAAATTGGACTGTCTGTTTGCAATATTGAAATCACCGTTTTTTACTACATGCATATATAGAATATAAATATGGTACATACACCAAAATAACATTTTTTACAATTTTTGTCTCTCTGTATGTTTGTCTGTTTGTTCCGGCTTATCTCTGAAATGGCTGAACGGATTTTGTCGGGACTTTTTTTAACAGGTAGCTGATGTAATAAGGAGTAACTTAAACTACTTTTATTTTAGAAAAATAAAGTTAAATTCCACGCGGACGAAGTCGCGGGAAGAGCTAGTATAAAGTATAGACTCTACTTTCTAAATGACTGTGTAGGCTATAATTTTTAATGATTCTCTGGAATATTAAAACTAGAACTCGAATAAAGAATAGTCCACATACATCTATACAATTGAAAACAATTGTTGTAGATGACCCTATGACACCAATTTGCAGTCACATACATTTATAAATTTGTGATAACTCGAATTAAAAAAATCGATTATATTAGATAAGTTAGTTAGTTATATCTCTATAAGTGAAAGAATTGTTAAAATTAGTTAAGTATTGTTTTTTATTTTTACAACATAAAAACATTATAAATTTAATATCAATTCAATAATGTATTATAACAAACGTAACAATATTCTGTTGTTACGTTTGTCACCCTTTTTTTATCTTAGATTTATTTAAAGACCTTTACGATAATAACACTTTTGTCACACTTCTGTAGTGTATCAATAATATTTGCTTTTTTTATTTTTTGGACCCAAATTGTTACAGGGACTCTTAAATAAACTTATAATTGTAGGTATACTACTAGTTATAGACTGAAGTAAATTGTTACTAAAAATTTGTAACTAATTAAAGTGAATAAAAAAATATTTCTTCTGTATTATATTGGATTACATTTGTACAGACTTGAAAGTCCGTTACACAGTTTAAATAAATAAAACACTACGGTCTGGATGATATTCAATTAATCTAGTAGTATGCTTTTAATTAATAAATCTTAGTATTAGATAAACAGAAAATAATCTTCCCGTCTTTGACAGTCTGGTAAAAAAGAAAGAAGCCAAGTTCATTACTTTCTGAGATTGAGATATTTCATAGCGACTGCTCGTCATCAAAACGGAATGGTTTTAATATTCCAGGTGTCAGCGGAAATTTTAATTATATTCATTACAAAAAAATACTAGGCTGTAACGAGTATTATTTTTTATAGAGAGTTCCTTATAAAGTTTTTTTATGTATTAGATCGGAAATATTAGGGATGGGGAAATGTGAACTTTATAATTAACGAAATTTAAAATTAAATAACAAATGAAGATGCCTGATAATTTGATGTAAATTTATTACAATTGTAAAATTTTAAATCTACTTGCAAGTAATTTCGCCGTCATCTCCGTTTGTTTCTTAATTTGTATCCGCCATTACGTTTCGAGTTTTAGCAGGTGCTACCTGTATTGTAGGTGCTCTTGAAATCTAGTTTCATTGAATTCAGGTACAACTAAATTAAAATTCCAAGTACGAGACAGGAATTTATATATTAGAAAGTCGCTTTCAGTACCGATTTAAGAAATTCTTTGAGTTTGGAATACGGATAATCAAATCCATAGTTCGCTCCAATAGAACCTATAGAAAATATTTTACTTAAAATTACCATATAAGCACTAAATAGGAGTAATAACATATTTATTATTCGAATCTTGAGACACATCTGTGAAAAAATCAACATTGCATGTTTTTTCAGGGTTTAAGCTGATGAGTCAGGCTTTCTCTATGTTTACATAAGATTTTTTTTAAAATTTGTATGAATATTATTCTTTTAGTAACAAAAAATACCGCAATTTGATAACTTCTTCTTTTTAAGTTAGATCGATTAATATGTATACAGTAAATGGTTTTATTTTCTTTATACGGAACCCTGCGTTGGGCCGATTGCAATGACTCCACCCTAATTGGAATTATCTCGGTGCAAATTTGAGGCTTTGAATAATGACTTCGTTTAACGAGCTCTGTAAGAGGATTGCTTTGGGATGCCTTTTAAATGTATTATACGAATTGTGGAGGCTTTATAGTTAGGGATTATAGTTCACTGTAACTTTAGGACTTTTTGTCCACAGTCATTTGGATTGTTTCAGTAAAGTTTGAACGTTTCATACTAATTGCTATTATGTATTTTAAATTAATTTAGTAGTGTTTCAATTATTATGATATAAATTTAATAAAATATTTCTATTAATGAAGTATGTAAAGACAGTGTACATGAAATGTACACGCTTAAAATACAGTTTTATACCTAGTTTAGAAAACAGGACATAATGCAAGTAATTGAAACATCAAACAAAAAGAAACGAACAACAACAGCAAATAAAAAAAGTGATCTTTAAACCCAATTCCTGGAATTTTATAATAAGCACAAATAAAAATTACTATTTATTATATACTTGCAAATAGTCTTTATTCAAATAAAGTTAACTTTAAGCACTCTATATCGCTCATTATATTTTATTTCATACCGACATACTACCATTGAAATAACTTTTTATGTCCACTAATATTCTTACTATCCAGTGATGGAAAAAACCATTACTACTATTGGGTAATGCTTCTAAATACCCCTAAGGAAACAATTGTCAATGTACTTTATATTATTTTGTTCTACTAGTACGTTCAAATGGATATAGATTTATCTAAGCCAGAAAAAGTTCGACTTTTAGTCACTTATAAAATTTTATAATTACGCCAATAGTCAATATGTAATTACTATATTTCTCTATTGATCCAATGAATTTGTAAGATCTTCTTAATTTATGTAATTCTTCTGCATGTGTTTGTCACCTAACTCCTCTTAGCCGACTGGATTGATTCAGATGAAATTTTGTGTATATATTTCAATGTTTTTCTCGACAGTTTGAAGATACACTAACGTGTATCGCATTTGTAATATGGATTACAAAGTTTTGTTGACGTTCCACCATTTTCTTAGCTTCGTTTTAATGTTATTTTCTTTGAGTGTATTCAATTTCGTACAGAGGTCACATGCCTTCATTACTTCATTCGCTTCCATGTACTTATAATGGTTATGCCACCTGAAAGGAAAGAAATTAGTTGGTAACATAATTAATTGTTTAATTGTTTGCCTTTTAATATTGTATCGAGACCTTTTAATATTGTGTCGAGTCGGACTAACTAATACCATTGTTAGGAGTTGATACTATGTACAATGTGAAAACACTAAAAGCTTCAGTAAGGATTGAATTAGAATAGAAGAAATTCTATGTAACACTAATAATTTGACAGATCTAACCGCCGTAAATATTATTACAGCTCTACCAGTTCTGTTAGCAAGACTGCTTTAAGGATTTCATCCTTGCTTTTTATAAAGACAATTTATTATTATAATGTATATATTTGATTATACCAAGTCACGTCGACATTGTAGTAATCAAGGATTGTTTTCTGTGCCTCTGTCACCGGAAGGTTAGTTAGAAGTATAAATTGTCATATAAATGCTTTTTGATGTTGATATAAGCAAATTTATAAACCATTGTGACATGCGACAATGCGACAGCCCTGGTGGTCTAGGGTTCGATTCTTCGCAAGGTACAAACATTTTGTATTTATGAGTATGATTGTTTGTATCGGTCTGGGTATTTTCTATGTATAATATGTAATTATTAAAAAAAAATGTATCCATGTATTTATATCAGTTGTCTAGTACTCATAACACAATCTCTGCTTAGCTTGGGACTAGATGGCGCTGTGTGAATTGTCCTAAGATATTATATTATTATTATTATTATTGTGTCGAAAAATTTATACATATTGACATATGTCCTACCTGAAATATTCAGCATATATTTTAGGATCCTTCACTGCTTGTGACATTAAAAATGCAACTTCACTGGAAGTCAGTTTGCCTGCATCTATATACGAATGTGGAGGTAAAAACCTGGTAATCAACATTGATAAAATTATTATTAGATATATATACTGATTTAATAAATTAAATTTACTGCTTCTTTCACAAAATGGAATTACAAAATAGACGCATGATATCTTTAGTTCTCCAGCATGGTAACACATGATAGGAAACATTCATGTACAAAAGCGACCCGTGATCACCACTTACCAGTAGGTAGACCTTTGGCTATTTGGCATTTCAATTATGAACATAAAAAAACTGAATGAAGCAAAAGTTAATGTATGATATGATATGATATAATGTATGATGATGATAGTGATCTATAGCTTTACAAACTGACTTGTATAGTAATCTTATTTTATCTACAGAGCCCGTGACATGAAGGTGGATATATTTTATGAATATTATACTCAAATTAAAATATTGTATATAAAAATTGACATGAAAAGAAGATCAAATTCAAAGAAAGATCAAAGCTACGTATGTATATACGTGTCTTATAAATTCTATATAAAATTTATAAATATATAAGGACTAACCTTGTATAATTTGCCCCGCCGTAAACGATTGGTACCGTATAATGTAACAATGGATACAGAATCTTTTCTGTAACATAATCCTCTGCTATAGAATTCTCAAATGCGAGATAAAAATAATAATCATGCTCTAAATCTTCTAAACAGTCGTACATACGATCTTTGGAACAATCAAGTCTACCACACAAACCATATATATCTATAGATAGACCATATTTCAGTAATTCCTTAGTTAATTGCTTTGCAACAACTTCCCTACGACTTTTAGTTTTACAATTCGAAACAAACCAAGCTGCCGCTTTTCTTTTGACTAGTAACTTTTTTCTAATATTCTCAGGAGTTGGAAGCATTGGATTTATCCATTCCATATCCACTTTAGGACCTACAACTTCATCGTTCTCGTCCAGAATTATAATGTAGGCTCCAAACACATCCGAGTCTAATTTATATGTCCATGTTAAATTATAATAAGAATCATATTTCGGATGTACTACAGGAAAATTGTCTGCCGATTCTAGACCGACAAATATATACTTTTGATGAGGACTTCGTAAAATAGGATCGTAATCCCAATAATTTTCGACGTCGAACAAAATGGCATCGAAATATCTAACGTCTAGAAGTAGACTTTTATCACCACTGAAATAGCAATTTTTGTACGTGCAGTTATATTTAAGGAGTGATTCCTGTCCATTTTTAAAGATTGGCGAGTCGTAATGTGAAAATGCTTGTGTCCACTTTAGTATATATTTCAAATCAGTTTGTAATCTTTCTGCCATTTGAAAACTTCTGCTCATTGCTGTGACGTTATATTTGTATTTTCTTAATTGTAATTCCATCTTTTTCAATGTTCCAGGTGTTCGAATCATATATTCTATATCTAGGATCAGTTCATTATTTTTTACAAAAAAAGTTTTTAATAATTGAAGAACAACCATACTGTATGCACTTATCAACACTGCTTTCAGTATCTTGGACATGTTTCTGATGGTCTGCCATCCGATAATTATTAAGAATGTTGTACAAGGTAGCTACTTTGTGTGTACTAGCTTTGTTTGTTTATAAAATACTTGCCTCGTAATTTGATTGTGTCTCTGCAAGCAGCGTAAAATACTTCATGCATGCATGAATTTAATAAATATTTTTTGATCTTTTGTTAATACATTCCATGTAGAATTAATTATCTTATTTTTTGCAACTTACATTTTCCCTTGGCTTCTCATATTCTATTTATTATCTATGCTATTCTATTTCTGCAAATAAAATTCAGTTAATTTAATTTCAGAATTAGTCTATAATGTTGGATAGATTGAATGAAGAAAGAAATATAAAATTATTTCTATATTTTATTCATAAAAACAAAGAGTAGTTAGGTTGAATTAAATTTATTTTAAAACAGACAACGAGAATGTTTGTAGAGTAAAATCTACGTATGCAAATAAGCTTAAAACATGGGATAGTGCAGGAAATACGTCGGCAATTATACTAAACAGAATATTAAATATGAAAATCTCTTTGTGTGCGGCTCGTGAGGCAGGCGGCTCCCACGGCGGATAGTATGCAAATGACAACAAATAGACAAGTGGCGCCCCCACCTGCGGTGTTCTGGCATGACTTATTTTAGAAAAATAATATTTTCTGCAGTTTACACTTTGTGAAATTCACTCAACAAGATTATTGCTATTAAAATATGAGTGTTAATAGGTATTAGTTACTGATGTATGAAATTTAAATAATGAAAATTCGTTATATAAATTATCATCGTCATCCTTATCCAAACCTTATTCGTCCGATATTTTAGTGTAGGGCTCTTCTTCTTTCGTTCTTGTTCATGTTATTTGGTTTTGGGCAATTATAATATCCAGCTGTGAGTTCCCCCTGGAAACCATCGTGACAAATTCCTGGTGAGTTTGTCACGATGGGCTAACTGACCTGACCCCATGCTCATCTTATCATCTTCCACTGGTGCCCCGTCAGCGTAAACCGTTAGCGCAGGCGGGTGCACCTTTCCATTATCATCCCTTAAAATATAATCCAGCTGTGTTTACATAATGATGAATATTTAAATCCAAGTTTTTTGCATGGCAAAATGTTTATTTCAAGCACCTCTGACTACAATTAGTCTGTTTAATGCTGTATTATGGTTTATAGAGTGAGTTTGTTAGTGAAGTTACTAGTTTTACAAGAACAAGTACAGGAACGTCATGCCATAGTCAGCAATGGGCGCTTCATGGCTTATTCCATATTAGATAATAAAATACACTACATTGAGTTTAGAAACTGCTTTTTCGAAGTCGACTTAAAACAGTAATAATAAAGTTTTCGAATCATGGACCTTTACATACTTAGCGTGTTCTCAAAGTTTTTATTAGGCGGCAAGTAAACGCGTCGGTATCTTTTCAGAATCGAAAGCTCAAAATTCACCGCTTGCCAAAGTTTTTTTCCGCACCAAAAGCGAACCGCTGAATATTAGCAAAAAGTCATTAAAAGTAAGGGTGCTGTTCATCATGGCGAAGCCTCAAAGTCGGTATTAAACGCCAACTTGGTGGGACCTTAACTTATAAAAGTTCATTCATTTAACGCTTGCACGCGTTTGCCAAGCAGCGCGGCGGCCGCGACTACACTTCAAATTATAACATTACGTTTATTATAAATGTCCATAGATTCATTATGATCGTTATCTATAAACTGAATGGCTTTAATTGTATCTCATTAATTGACTTCTGAAGTTGTTATCTTTAAAATCATCTATCCTGATTTTCAGCTAAAGGTACTCAATCTACTAAACTTGTATTTGGACCATAGGCCCTTGTGATAATAGATTGGGTATTTTATTTAATTCAAATGTATTTTTAAAAATTCCTATTTAACACGCGTGTTCTGAAAAAATCTTTTGATCTGATCAACAAAATTTAATTTTTAATAATGTGTATAAATCAACACGTTATTCGCTGTTAACTGATACTGACTTAAAGGATGCTTGAAGAATCATGATGATTTGAGCTGTCTATACTTTAGTCGTCTGGAGTGACAATAAATGAGCAAGTACCACGGGCTTCGAATGATGACGTGATATCTATGGCAGTGTTAGTGTTGCGTAGACAACGGTTGTCACGTAATATCAGAGGGATGGGGAAACGGGTGAGCTTGTTTACCATTCCAGTTACATGTTTTTCGTCTAGATATACTGTCTCAAGATACCTACTGTTTCCTATAAAAGTCCAAGGGCTATTTTTCATTCTTCGTTGAATGTCTGAAATCTAGACCTATTGAAATAGATTTTAATTCTGTCTGACTAAATGAATGGCACTATAAATACATTCCCTGCACATTAACTGTATCATGGATATTTCTGGAAAAATCTTTTACAATTGATGAGTTTCAGTGAAATTCCGTAATTCGTATAACTTTTCAGCCGGTTTCCACGCCATCGGCTTCCTTTATCCTATTAGTGATAATTAAATCGAACTCCGGATTTGTATTCAGAGGTTTAAATTTCATTTTCGTGTTAATTCAACAAAACTTTCAGAACGTTTTAATCCGACCTCGTACTGTTTCATTAGTGTATATAGCTTGGTAACCATTATGGCTGCGTAATTCAATAGGCTATTGCAGGGCTGATGTGGTGATGGAGTTTACTGATTGGACTGATGACTTTATTGCTATTCGGAGAAAATTAGAGTATTGACGGCCTCGGTGGTCTAGCGGTTTAACATACCGCTTTATTTCCGAAGGTCATGGTTTTGATTCCACACTCGGTGCAAACATTTGTATTCATAAATATAATTGTTTGTATCGGTCTGGGTGTTTTCTATGTATATTATGTATGTACTTACAAAAAAAAACTCTAAGTTTTATATCAGTTGTCATGTATCTATAATATAAGCTCGGTTTACCGTGGGACTAGATGAGGTTGTGTTAATTGTCCAGCGTTAATTATAATTAACGCTAACTTCACCGCCGGAAAACCACATACACAAAGTACATACACACTATAAAGTGATTTTGTAATGGAGAGTCGCTTTGACTATGGCTTAAACACGTACGGAAAAGTATTTAATTGTAATCTACAATTTACATTTTTTAACGACAGATAACTCTAAGAAGCAATCTACGAAATAAATAGTAGATTTTTTTTTATTTTAAAATCAATTGAATCGCCTTCACGTAAATACTATATTTTTTAGCACTGTAAACAACAAACCCATCTGGTATATGATCTGTATGAACAGGAATGAGAAGGTAAGAAAATTGGATATAAAACTTCTGGTATAGCATGGTATGCAGCAGTAGGTGCCAGGATTTAATAAAACAAATGAAAGTATGATTACTTAAAAAACGTATCTACAATTTCCCCATCAATGACCTTAGTCGTTTCGAATCTTCCTGTTCTCACTTTATATCTTTTGAATATGAAATTATCACCTCCCAGCTGAGTCAGCGGGCTTAACTTCATTTTAATAAAAAATGGACGACAGAAAAATTACCGACTTGCCGATGTCTCGGTGCTGAGAGAGGGTCCCTGTCATATTATTACTTGCTTTTATTGGACCGCTGTTTTTGTGAAATTATGAGTTTATATTTTATAACATACCTACTACTTATTCAGGCGGCGCTGCTTGCCTGGAATACAGTCTATGTTACTCGATGATAACATAGCTTTTTATAGGTAATATAATGTTTAGAATCAGTCAGGTCAGTCAGGTCAGAATTTATTTAGTTTATCTGTTTCAATCAAACATAGAAAACAGTGTTTTTTTTTCAATAGTTAGATTTTAGTTTTTTAACTTACTTTTTATTGTTATTATTTGATTTTAGTTCTATGTTGGTTCCAAAGTAAATCCGGTTTTTTGTGCAACAAATTTTCTAATACTTTCCGCCTGTGTCGTTTGACAAAATTTTTGCTTGTATCATTAACCTCTAACAATAATCATTAGAAAACAAAAACAACCATTACAAACGATAAAACTAATTGAGATATAGCAAGTGTTATTCAAACTGTTCACATTTGGCGGTAATCCAAAAAATTAATTGGAGACAAGTGGCTTTAACGCTCGAGCCGACACTCAGGCAGGCAAGCGCTCAGTCGAGCGTTCGTGTTGAGTGTAATTAGTGCAATCAGTGTGAATCACGTTTTAGTCTAGTACTCGTTGCTATGTTGAGTGTTGGCCATTACGCATCGAGATGCACTTTAGTTGTTCGAAATTCAAAATGAGCATTTAGGGCGCGTAGTTCCTGTTATCTTAAACTTTGAGAACATATTATAACATGGCATATAAGTACAATCTTTACGAAGATATTATGAATAGCAAATGTTGTGAATTGGAATGTGTTTTTATATTTTTTTTTTTTATTTATGCCAGCGATAAATGCCAACATGCTTTTATTTTTTAAGCGAGTAAGGATACGGGGAAGTTGTGTAACAATAAAAGGCAACAATATTAAATTCTATTAGTATATGTAATCTCATTTCACAATAATCTCTCCAGTTAAATGTAAACACCGTTTTCATTTACGAAATGTGTGAGAGAGCAGTTTCTTGACAGTATCAAAAACGTTTTTGAAAGTCCGCACTCTTGTTGGTGGAAAGAGAAGATCTAATACTCCTCGTTGATAGTTCATTCTTTTATATTTAATAGGTATTACTTTAACGTAACTATCAACATCAACTTCTGAAGGCGTCATTGCACTGTGCGAGGGTAAAGACTCTCTTTTTCCATTAATCTGTACCTTGTTGGAATAATCAGAATATCTTGTGTGTTTTGAAGGTGACGATGAAGATGAGGTTTCAAATTTCTCTGAATGGAATTCTACTAAAGAGGCACCGGTTATGTAGAAATCTTCGTCTTTAATAGTGGTAGTGGCAGAATCCTCTGAGAGCTGGAGAGTGTTCGTGTAGATGTCGTTGAAGTTAGCAGTCGATGGAGCATACACATTGTTGTAATTATAACCCTGAATCATCCCCATAGAGTCAGCTTTTGCTTTTACCTAAAATCATATTGATGTCTTAGTACACCAGTTACTAGATATAGATTTAAAAAAAATATATATAGAATAGTAAAGAAGCTGATGGTTGACCTGAAGATACAACAGTAACCGTCGCTTATATACATGAACAGCACTACGAACTTCACGTTATCGTGTGACTCTCGTGATATTACTCTTACGTTTCCATTCCAGAGTATTATGATATCACACTTCTTCTCCCGTAATTTCACTGCATAATCTGCAGCTTACCAACCGAAACAGCCACAGCTTACAAAGCAATCTGCTTCTTGACTGAAATAGACGAGACTGAGTTGCAAATGACCCTCGCAGATGACTTTTTAACAATCTACCTCTTGTATATATATAAATCCACCTACTTAGTCCAATAAAATATATTAGTTCAGGACAATTCACACAGCGCCATCTAGACCCAAGTTAAGCTAGCTAAATCTTGTGTTATGGGTACTAGACAACTGATACAAATAAATGGATTTTTTTTTTCGTAAATACATAGATATTATACATAGAAAACACCCAGACCGATACAAACAATCATACTCATGAATACAAATGTTTGTGCTGTGCGAGAAATCGAACCCGCTACCATCAGACGTAAAGCGGTGTGCTAGACCGCTCTACCACCGAGGTCGTCAAATATATATTATTCGACTAAATATTTATTTAACTGATTAGCCATAATAGGTACACTGGCAGTCAATTTTAGGACTTTTTAAAATTTTGATGTCAAATTGCAAATGGAGTAGGTAATAAAAAGATACATACATAGAAAATTACAGTTAAAATTTAAATTAGAATCTCTTCCTTATTTAAGTTGGTTGAATATCTTTGTGAAAAGGCTGCTCATAATATATTTTATGTATAAATATGTTTAAAAATAAATAAATAATAAGATATAGAAACTTTAGTCATTGGTTGGTACTTACGAAATGAATTAAAAATAATATAAAGAGAATTCCACTAAGAGACATTTTGACGTATTACTATTACAATCCAAAAATCGACACTGAAGTCCAATGCCATTGACTGTCCGTCTGTAACTCTGTGGGAAAATAATACTGATTGTTATTAACTGTACATTGTTTAATTATAATAGAGTAAAAAGTAAACAAGTCATTGTCTGAACTTATAGCTACATATACAACATGACATTTAATGTTATTATGTTCATTGTTACATATTAAGAGTAAGCAATTTGAATGACAGATATTCTATCTAGAGTTCAGTATACAATTAACTAGCTGTGCCCGCGACTTCGTCCACGTGTGATGATATATAGTAGTGACCTTGACCAACCAAAAAAAAACAATAATTTTAACCCAAAAAAGTCAAGACTCTGGGTCCATGTGATCTCAAAGTAGGTAAATTCCTTAACGACCTATCAAGATTCCTGGTGGACCTCGCATGCAAAACATGTTCCTATTTTAATAGGACTTAAATAATAGCACATGATTATGATGGTTGTCTGTCTGTGAACTGAACACTTGAACGGTTATCAATGGCTATGTTTGGCCGAAATCGCGTGTATACATCAAATATATTGTACTTTTTTCAGTAACTATTACGTAATATTTGCAGTAATCGTTTTAAGTATATAAGCTAATTATAATAATTTCAAATATAAAATCTTTATTTTACTTTAATAAATAAAGTAAAATAAAGATTTTATATTTGATAACTTGTATTGAAATAATATTTCCATTTTGCTAGATTAAACTATGCATCTTTTGATCGCTTTGCTTTCGCTTTCCGTTTTATGTATGAAAGATATTTCTATAGATTCTGTAAAATATATTCAAGAAAGTCTAGTTGGAGGGAGCGGGTCTAAATTCGTATTTGCCTCCAAATAAAAGGAAGCCGCGGGAGCGCGCGCAGCAAGCCGTACATTGCGATATGAGATGTATATGTCCATTGTTGGATACGAGATCACAAATATTTTTCATAAATTAATGTTTTTTTTTCTATACTACATTTTGGATTAAAACAGTGCTTCTGCTGCTGATTTAGCTTCGTCTATAGAAAGATCAGTATAGATACATTAAATAAAAAGTTAATATAAGTTATTTATACTAAAATTAACTAACTATATATTTCTTGTTTTACAAACATTAGCAATAAGAAAATTGTTTTACTAACATAATGGACAATAGGGTCTTCAATACAATAAAATAAATAAATAAATGACTATCAATAACAATTTAAAAAAAAAACAATTGGTAGGAAAAAAGGTAGGAAAGTCGTTCTACATCAGTAAATCAATCGACCAGTATAGCTCACGGGTTGTTGAAAGTTTTGTGGCATTTCAACGCCAAACAATACAAAAATATGGAGTGACGATACAAATAATTATGTACAGTAATTAAAGAATACAGTAATTGTTGTAATGGTAATTTATTGTATAATATTTTGTAATTGTTTATATTGTAATGTAAGAGATATATAGTTATAACAAAATTTTATGTACAATTCACGTGTCGCATGTTATAATGGAACTGTACACGGTTACTACGCCTCGTAAGGATGCTTATGATGCGGTGTTGCAGTTTATTTAATTTCCTCAAAGGCATTACGTGGAAAAAGCATGTTTTCGAGTGCTCCCTCTCGTTCTAGAATATAGGGAGGCAATGTAGGGGTGCATTGAACGGGGTTTACGTCGCGACCGGTAATAACAGTATTAGATGCTTTTAAAGATTTCGAACTAAAAGGAATATCATAGTTTTAATACAAAAAGACGTGTCATATCACAAAACAAAGTATCTGGTCGCTTATGTCCGCGTGTTCACTGTAATCTCAAAAAGTAGTCAACAGATTTTCATGCGGTATCAGCAGTCAGGTATTTTTATCGAGATTCTTCGTTATTTTTCTCCAGACATGAGTAACCTGATTATCATTCAATATACTGTTGTATATACCATCTCAATGCATGATAGATCTATTATGCTTTTGGATAATATACCGTCACTACTGTTTTCCGAAATGGCGTCGTGGCGAATTACCAACTATTGACGTCGAGAAAAACGCAACATTTCGCTATACATATTTAAATCCAACGCGGTAAGGCGTGATTTTTCTAAGATTTCCTGGTATGTTACGTATTATTGTTTATATCACTAGAGATTCAAAATATGTATAAAGTTAGATAAAGTCTTTTCCTATTGGAGAAATTTGAAATAGAAATCCAGCCTTCAAATGCAATTAATACGGCATATTGACCATAACGGGACATCCGAAAACAAGATGGCGTCGGTCTTGCTTAACCAGTAATCTATGGCCCGAACACCTTTGTCCATAGACTAAGCACTGTCGATTCGTAGCAATACAATAGAGGCAATGCATCAGCCTGATAGCTTGTGGCTTAATCCTCAGATATGTTTAGATGTACTGAATGTGGTTATATTGTTAAGCACATTATCAATCAGATGTACCGCTGCTTTGGTTATCCTACAACTGATAACAACATCAATATCATTGGAATCCAGATTATAGATGTAATCCAGGCAGAATAATCTAAAACAGACGCGAAGATAAAGTAAAGAGGATGCATTCATTTTATTACCAACATCCGACCCGGCTGATTTCGTACTGCTTAGGAAAAATCCTATCCTATAAAATATACGAGATCAAAAATGTTAGAATATATTTTTCTAATTTTTCGATGTTTTAATATTTATCTGGAGTAGAGATAAATCTAGTGAAAGATAATAAAAATAAGTCTAATCGTTTTTGAGTTATAAATACTAGACCGATAGCTTCATTCTTACATTTTATTTCTAAATGTTTATATTAAAAAACGTGATCATATATTAGTTTATTTTAAAACAGGAACTAATATTAGATGTTCTTCTAAATAATGGATGGAATGGACCCCTATATTTTTTATGTAATTATCAAATAGACATCAATTATGGTAATATCATTAGGCAGTTTTAGGAGCCAGTATGGGAATAAATGAAGAAATAAATAAATAAAATGTGCACTTTAAAGTAAGTACCAGGGAACTTCTAGAAATATCTTAATATTGTACTCACGAGCATATATCATAATAATAACGCAAGAAAGAGAGGAGTCATCGAGTCTTAAATTAAACAAAACTTGTACTATGGGTACTAAACGACTTATAGAACAATACTTAAATATTTTTTAAAATTTATATATACAAAAATACATAATTTACAGAAGAAACACCCAGGCAAACAATCGTACCTACTTAATATAAATGTATATATATAGATAGGTAATCTTGCGTAAAATCGAAGCCACATCCACTAGAAGTAATGCGGTATGCTACACTGTCAGAACACCGGGATCTTCTTAGTTTTCGTCGATATGTAGTTGATTAAATCAAATCCCTTGCGTAAAAATTAAAATGTATTCTTACTGCCAATTAGATATTTAGATAATTATTTATGAGCAACATGTTTTTTTTCTTTTTAACAGATCTTTAAATCATATTAATTACTGTGAAAGTAATTAACGCTTTCACGGTATTCGTTAAAAACTGTAGTCTCGCCGCCGCGCCGCGCCGCGACGCTCTGGACGGGACCAGTTTATACAACAGTAAGGAACAGAAAAGTAAGTACCATAGAATAGGGATAGGGTATCCCTCTTATTATTATAAAATATTTTATTATATTATATATTTATTATATATATGTATAATATTTATTATATTATATAAACCTGTAGATATTGAACTCAGAATTTTTATGAATAAATAATTATAGGTGGCGTAGAATACTAGATGACGTTGTGTATTCATTTCATAATGATGACTGTTAAGTTTTTCTAGTTTAGATTCTATCGTGAGTATATTTTATCTAAAAAAACCAAAGAATTTATGGGTACCCAAGTACCCTAGTAGCTACGTCTGAGTCACATTTCCCCTGTTTTTGATTATTTTTTAATTACAGCTCCGTTCCTAATGATTGTAGCGTGATGTTATATAGCTTATAGCCTTCCTCGATAAATGGGCTTGCTAACATTAAAATTGTGTATATAAACTTTGTGAGACTGTACGGTTATATCTGGATCTACTGAACCTATTTTAAAAATTCTTTAAAATAGTAGTATGAAATATTGTTTTTCTCAATATTTTGGTTCCGTTCTGTGAGATGGATCCATGCGAGGGCTGCGCGGCAACATCTTGTACTAATTGGTCCACGATGCGAAGATGTTCAGACGATTTATGGTACGCCTCGGCACCCACCTTCAACTCTTGTCTACTTTTATAACTTCATATTTTTTCTCTATGGTGGGTTAGAATAAAAAAAAAAGATTGATGAACATATAAGCACTTAATTGTTGACGTCGTATCCTTGATAGTAATTTCCATTTATTCAAAAATTTATAATAAAAAAAATATATTCTATGTTTATATAAGTTTAATCTATTTAAGTCGATTTAGTCAAAATGACGCCCCACTTGATAGTATACCGCTCATGCCATTATTCCACCTTCAACTGAAAAACTACTTCGTATTATTGCACACTCACTTCAAATTAAATATAGCTTTACAAAATAAGCTACATGGCGACTGTAATAGGTGAGACCGACATGAGTACTTACATAGGTATACACAGGTAACTGTTAACAAAGTCTGTCTCGGTCAAACATTTTTCATAATTTATATTTTAAAGCAGTTTAGTATTAGCGTGCAATATTTTTTAAATATAAAAAACGAAATATCTTAATCTATTTTAATGTTATTCAAGATATACTTATTATAAATTTAAACGTTCCGCTTTCAAACATAAGAAGCTCAGAGAGATAGCGTAGCCTCTTTTCCTTCTGAAATAGTAAATGCAATCCTGCATATTTTCTTTTTCTTTGAAAGTTATGATTGGGAGAAAATTTTACTAGTGAGATCGCCAACTTTGCCTTATTATAGAAGTCTGATGTTGCAAGCTACGTGTACGTTAGAAAAAATAGATCAACTCAAATTATTTAAATGAATAATATGAAATCCAGCATTATAAAATCATAAAAAGCTTTATAGAAATTAACTCGGATTATTTAAACCGACTTTACTGACAATAAAAATTCGAGAATTTCATGAAATAAAACTTTGTATTCAATTTATATCGTTGACTGACTAACCTGTGATTAAAATACGAACAAGACTGCAAAATTAGTTCTAAAGACAGTCATAAATTTGCCCCCAAATACGTTGGATTAAAATAAACCAGGTCAAGCGTTGCGACGTCGAAAGTTGATAATGCCTCTAACTATCCCTTCTGATACTGTTGTAAAATAATAAATAGTATTGTCACGGTAAACATCACAAGATGAGACGACGCAAAAGTATATTATTAATGTTGTTTGTATAAAATAAATATTAATGTAGGTAGGTCCACACTATTGTTTCTTAGCCGCGCACCGTTGGCTCCTGTACTCAGGTCGCGTATGAAGGAAAATTAGACTTTTTAAACTTGCCACGGAAACTTCGATTTTACCTTATTCCTTCTGGCTTCAGAGTTATTGCGCGTGCTACAAGTAGGCTGCATAAATATTAAATATTTTAAAATAATAACCTCGTGTGTTAAAATATGCTATTGCATTTTTATCATGCCCGTACTTTACTAAATTGCAATATATTTATTTTCAGTGGTTCTTTATATATTTTAGACATATACCAATAATTTATTCATATTATAGTTTATACTAATGTGTATTCTTAAGTAGTTGCATGGGTACATGTGATGTATTGATGTTAAACCAACCTTACCTTAACTAATACTGCCGTTAAACTTTTTGAGTTGTTTTTTTGTTTTGTAAGCTCTGATCGTGTATCCAGACATGACACCTTAATCTTTTAGAATGGCTACGCGTCAAGGGTAACACGTGCGTCACGTAATGACGTAATATCTAGGATAGAATAGAATTGAATTGAAAATCATTTCTTCAAATACACTTGTATTGAAGCACTTATAAATAGACTTCACATTTTTTTTAATCTACCGCTCATTCGGAAAGCTGCCTCATCACAAGAAGAACAAGCTAGAAACTTGGGTGTTGCTCTTTTAAATAATTTTATTGTTACTTTACATTTTAAGTTGAAGTATGTGAATACAAACTGCCAAATAACACTAGTTCCATTAAATACTCAAATAGAAAAAATATTAAAAAATAGAAAAAATATTCGAGTTCATGTTTGTAGGTTTTCAGTTTCCATCAGCTTGTTTACTATTCCCGTTACATGAAATAAATAAACACATAATACAGAGTATATTATAACTATAGAAACTTTTGCAAACAAGGCGATGACAGCAGTAACAAGCGAATAAACATTTATAACTTCCTAT